ATGTTTTCACTCTTCTTCCACAGTGGTTGACTAATCTTCAACGATTCCAATTTTCTAGAGAACTTGAATCGATCCTCAGCATTATCGATATCATTTGGAGATGTTCCAAAGATTTTCACTTGTGCACGACTCAAACTCATCGCGATATTGTTTGGTGCTTGACCTCCGAACGCCAAGATCACTCCTTTTGGTTGTTCGAGATGGTAGACGTCGAGGACAGTTTCGAATGAGATCTCTTCGAAATAAAGACGATCGCAGATGTCACCACATTTTTGGCCTAGTGATGGTCTTTATACATTGTGTGTTTCCTAGGTCATTTAGCATGGTGGCCTAGAAAACTCAACTTGCAAAACTCAGGCCACCATGCTGAAATGTTCTAGAAAACAACCCAGATAAATATCAGGGCCGTTCTAGCTCATTTACCTTGGCGGCATAGAAAACCCAACTTGCGAAAGTTTGGTCACTCTTGGCTCTTGAATACTCTGGTAATCCTTCCAGGAACTGCCGACTACTTCCAATCCAACAAGATCGACGTGAAACCCGTTGATTGGCCATTCGAAGAGGGATCATCCGATGAGAAGACCGCTAGTGGTACTCGTTCAGTCGTCGAATTCCTCGAGAACAAAGAATTCCACCTCGTCATCAATCTGCCAATCCGTGGATCCGGTGCATATCGTGTCTCTGCATTCCGCACTCACGGATACAAAACTCGTCGAATGGCGATTGATAACGGAATTCCACTGATCACAGACATCAAATGTGCCAAGACCTTCGTTCAGGCTCTCGCTATGGTTGGACGTCGTCCAACGATGAATTCTTTGGTGGATTGTGTCACTTCGAAGAGTCTCAAGCGTCTTCCAGGAATGGTAGACATCCATGTGCATGTCAGAGAGCCAGGAGCCACGCATAAAGAAGATTGGACATCTTGCACCAAGGCCGCCCTCGCCGGAGGAATCACCACGATTCTCGCCATGCCCAACACGAATCCTCCACTGGTGGATTCTGATTCTTATCATCTCACTGAGCAATTGGCATCTGCAAAGTCTGTCGTGGACTACGCTCTCTACATCGGTGCCACCCCGGAAAACTCAAAGTTTGCCGCGGAGTTCTCTGATAAGGCTGCTGCTCTGAAAATGTATCTGAACGAGACGTTTAGCACTCTGAAAATGGACAACATCTCCGATTGGACCGCCCACTTCCAAGCGTTCCCTGCCAATCGACCAATCGTTTGTCATGCTGAACGTCAAACGCTTGCAGCTGTCCTCTGCATTGCTCAGATGGCAAATCGAGCGGTTCATATCGCCCACGTGGCTACTGCAGACGAGATTGGCCTGATCAAAGAGGCGAAACTCAAAGGATGGAAGGTGACTTGTGAAGTGTGTCCTCATCACCTGCTCCTGACCGATGAATCGCTTCCCGAAGGCGTTCGAGAGGTACGTCCACGTCTTGTGAAGCCAGAAGATCGTCAGGCACTCTGGGACAACTTGGAATACATCGATTGTTTCGCCACCGATCACGCGCCACACACTTGGGATGAGAAGTCGGGAAAATCGGGAAAAGTGCCACCTGGATTCCCAGGCGTCGAATATATGCTTCCGCTTCTTCTCACAGCCGTCCACGAGGGAAAACTGACTTTGAAGGATGTCACCGATCGGCTATCAGTGAATCCACGACGAATTTTCAATCTGCCCGCTCAGGATGACACTTATATCGAAGTAGATATGGGTGAGGAATGGACGATTCCGGAGAATGGAGGACAGAGTAAAGCTGGATGGACACCGTTCGCTGGAAGAAGGGTTTATGGAAAAGTACACAATGTTGTGATCAGAGGAGAAGAAGCATTCGTTGATGGAAGGGTGAGTTTGTTTGGTTTAATAGTGGCCTAGAAAACTCAACTTGCAAAAGTTAGGCCACCATGTTAAAATGGTCTAGTAACTTTATCAGATGAATATCAGGTCATTTCTAGGTCATTTACCATGGTGGACTGGAAAACTCCACCTGGAAAAGTTAGGCCACCATGTTAAAATGGCCTAGGAACCCTATCAGATGAATATCAGGCAGTTTCTTGGCCATTTACCATGGTGGCCTAGAAAAAGCAGTTTGCAAAAGTTAGGCCACCATGTTAAAATCACCGAGAAGCCATATAAAATTCACCAGGTGAACTACGATGACCTAGAAAAATCATGTTTAAAAAGTTAGGTCACTCTATTCGTCACGTGAAACCGAAGAGTGTGATTTTCGAATTTAGCCCCGCCCACTGTTGAACTCTTTTTGAGCGATAGGCTCCGCCCGCTTTTGTATTAAAGACCACGCCCCATCCTTCCCTACTAGGGAATCCCTAAAAATGTTTTTTTTTCAGATCGTAGCCACGCCAGGCTTTGGAAAGAACCTCCGTCTCTATCCACACTCCACAAGCTCCGCCCATCTTGATCATGACGATGAGTTGGCACCAACACTGGAACCAGTCTCTGAGAATTCATCCGATGAACAGAGTCCACTTCACACCCCACCACGTGCTCACTCGCCAATCGCATTCCCTGGAGAACTTTTGGCCAAAAACTGTATCAGTGTCAAGAATTTGGATAAGGGACAAATCAATCGAATCTTCGAACTCGCTGATCGATACAAGCATGACGTTGAGAAGAGCCATCCATTGACCCATATTCTTCAAGGAAAAGTCCTAGTGACGCTGTTCTATGAGGTCTCGACACGAACGTCGTGCTCGTTCCAAGCAGCCATGCAACGTCTTGGAGGATCTGTGATCGCTGTCGACTCGCAAACATCGTCAGTTCAGAAGGGAGAAACTCTTGAAGACACTGTTCAGGTAGAAGACTTCCTTGAGTTCCTAGATTCTTAATTTTTCGATTTCCAGGTTCTCGGCAGCTATGGAGACATTATTGTGCTCCGATCGAAGGAGAATGGAGCAGCCGAGCGTGCCGCGCGTGTTTGTGAGCAGCCAGTGATCAATGGGGGTGATGGAACTGGAGAGCATCCGACTCAAGCGCTCCTCGACGTCTACACCATTCGTCAGGAGATGGGAACTGTTAACGGGCTGACGATTGCGTTGGTTGGAGATTTGAAGAATGGACGGACGGTTCATTCGTTGGCCAAGCTCTTGTGCTTGTACAAGGTGAGGGGAGACATCTGGATATACAGATTAGGTCTTAAAATGGGTGATAACGACATAGTGATAATTGCTGGTACATAGTGAGATACGTAAACACTCCTATGGTACCATATGGTTATTATGATTCCATATGGTTGCAGTGCTCGCTATGGTGCCATAGGGATATTATGATTCCTATGGTACTATATGGTTATTTGTCATAAAATACCATTCGGACCAGTTTAACATATCCCAAATAATTCTGTCCTACAAATTGCAATCGTACCATATGGTGAATTGAAATGGTATCATACGGTATACTGCAACGGCGCGATATGATGAAGTGCGATAATACCATATGATGAAGGGCAATGGTACCATAGATGGGTGGACACTCTAATAGAACGCCACCCAAACCTTCCGCTTCGAGCCCATTTATCTGATTTTTTTGAAAGACATCAAAAAGGGGTCATCATAATATCAGCAACATTTTATGAGTTGACCACTTTTTGGTATCTTTTACAAGAAATGAGATAAATCCATTTTCGGAATCTTCTAGAAGTCTAAAAACGGTCAAAATGACCGAAATGAACTGAAAAACACATTTTTGGTACTGTACATAAGAATAGTATTTTTTCAGGACATCACTCTGCACTACATTGCTCCAACGGACGATCTTCAGATGCCACAGGATGTTCTGGACTACGTCTCCTCTCACTCCAACTTCACCCAGAAGAAGTTCTCCACGCTTGCGGAAGGAATCTCCCACGTTGACGTCGTCTACGTGACACGTATTCAGAAGGAGCGATTCCCGAGTGCCGAGGATTATGAGAAGGTCAAGGGAAGCTACATTATCAACGCGAAGCTGCTCAACGAGGCGGCCCGTGATATGGATGAAGAGCTGCAGGGAAATCTTCTGGTTCCTGCTAGATCTCTCCCGATTGTCATGCATCCACTGCCACGTGTCGATGAGATTGCGGTGGAGTTAGATCACGACGAACGTGCCGCCTATTTCAGACAAGCCAAAAATGGAATGTTCGTCCGAATGTCGATTCTGTCGCTGCTTCTTGGAAGAGGACATCTTTAAATTTTCGGTTTTTTTTAAATTTTCTTTTTTTGTTTGTCCATATTGCAATTTTCATATCCCCATCACCCTTTTGTCTCGTTTCTATTCACACTTACTCGATTCTTTTGTCCTTTTTTCACTTTTCATTCGTTTTCACACAATATTGTGTACACAATTTCGCTCGTGTTTCATTTTTGGGTTCATCAATAAAAATTACCATGGAAATTTTGGGTTTTTTTTGGGAATTTCCAGACTTAAAAACCAATGAAAAATGACCGAAAAAAGATGAAAAAGTGAAAATGATAGGAAAATATGGTTTAATTACCCAAGTTTGAGGTACCGCCGACAACGACGAACAATGACACCAGTCAACGACGACTTGTCGCGTGCTCCCTCTTCTGAGCCCTTGGAAGGACCGCCCCCGCCCACTACTCGTCCACCGCCGACCCCAGACCCCGAATCATCGTCGCCAACGATGTCGCCACCGCGCAAGCTGCCCTTTCTGAATACTCAAAACCTGAGAAAACGCGGACAGGGTCTTAATTCGACACCTCCATTTGCTCTCACAAGGGAGCGCGCTTGCAAATCCGGCGGGAAATTGTCAAATTTAAATTTCATTTTTTGGAATTTAGACATCCAGAAGCGGTTTTCTTTCTATTTTCGCCATTATTTTTCAGTTTTCTGCGGAAATTATCTAAAAATTGAATAAAAATATGGAAACAATCACAATTCAGTGATTTTCCCACAAAAATTTAAAAATCCCAAAAATTGGCCCAAAATGAGCTATTTTCTTTCGAAAATTGTTCGAACTGGGCAATAAAACACTACAAAATTATTAAATTAAGTTTTTTCGATTAATTACCACGAAAATTTGAGCAAAAACTATGAAAAACGAATGAAAACGGAGAAAAATCCCAAAATAAAATTTCCCAGTGATGACGTCATCAGTCCATGGCCGTGGCCGAGCTGCGGGGTTTTCTCTTCCATGGGAAATTTCGCAAAATTCACAGCTTTTCGCAAATCCCATTTTTCTCTATTTTCCTTCATTTTTCATAGTTTTTGCTCAAAATTTCGTGGTATTATCCTTGTCTGAGAAAAAAAAGGTTGAGACGCAGAGAAAAAGTGTCTGTGTCTCCACCTTATGTGTGCTGTTTAGGCTCTCCGCTTCGATATCGCTACCGTATTCAGACTGCAAAAAAATACTCTCTAACCTTTTTTTTTCTCAGACAAGCATAATAATTAATCGAAAAAAATGAATTTAATAGTTTTTGCCCAGTTTATTGCCCAGTTCGAACAATTTTCGAAAGAAAATAGCTTATTTTGGGCCAATTTTTGGGAGTTTTGAATTTTTGTGGGACTCAAAAATTCAAAACAACTAATGCCTTTCAGCCAATGCCCAATAATTTCCACAAATTTTTTTCATAAAGAGTGAAATATATGACACAAAATCAAAAAGAACAATCAAAAGACAATGAGAAGTGAAAATTTTCTGCCGTAATTTTTGAAAATTCAGAAATATTGAGATTCTGAAGTTCTGAAATTCTGAGGTTTTGAGGCCCTGAAATTCTGAAATTTTGAAGTTCGGAAATTCTGAGATTCTGAAATTCGGAAGTTCTCAGATTCTCAGTTTCTGAAGTTCCGAAATTCTCAGATTCCGAAATACTGAAATTCCAAAGTTCTGAAATTCTAAGAATTCTGAGATTTTCAAGCTCTGAAATGCAGGAATTCAGAAACTCCTTCAAAAAATTGTACCCCCGAATCACAAGCGTTGTACCCCTGTATGAAATGGGTTGTACCCCAGAATCCTTTGGGTCCTTCACAAATATAAAAAGATGCTGCCAATCCGTCAATCCGTTTTATATAATATCCGCCTTCTACTAGGCTATGATCTGGAACCCTGAAAAATTATGAATTGAAATTTCAAATTTCAAAAAAAGATTCATGGACGTTTCAGAATCACGACGTTCCAGAATAACGATGTTTCAGAACCCGGCCATTCAGAACTTTTCTGCATTTTCGAGTAGTGTTTTTTGCACACCAAATAAGTATTACTCAACTAAAATTGTTGTTTTTCTGCTTTTTTATTCGTTCTCATCTACCGTACCACAAATAATGATAGGTCCACACTCTGAAACTCTCAAAAATCGAAAAAAGAATTATTTTATTCCGGATTCCGGAAAATTTTCATTTGTCCAAAAAAGATTCGATTCGCCGACGAATTTCTCATGAGCATCCGTTTTTGTAATTATTTGTTTTGGTTTTGAATAAAAAAGAAATGTCTTTTTCTCTTTTACTTTAAACGGTTTTCAAAAATAGTTTCATGTTTTTTCATGGCTAGAATCAAGTTACTTGAGCCAGTTTCCGAAATTGTATAGAATTCGTGCGAGAACTGTTTGTCTGCAGTCTTGCGTCAGATTGTGGGTTTAAGTGTGCCAATGTGGAGGACCTTGCGGAACGCTACTGAAACCCTTGGTTTTTGTGAAAAAATAATGAGTTCCTGCGTACTTTGCATTATAACTGACGACACACATTTTTCAACCAATTATTGTATATTTCGAAGCTATTTTTCTATCCTTTACAGGCATTAAAAATGCTCAGCGAGCAGAAATTCCGAGAAGAATTGCAAAAATTCGTAGAACAAATGTCACAAAACAAGTGGAATTGGCAGTTGAAAGAGGTGAAAATCAGAATTATGATTTTTTCAGCAAAATTCAAATTTCAGAATGGAAAATACGCTCGTGAGACGCATCTGGAGACGTTGTCTTCTGGAAAAATAGTCTCAGCAGACATTCATATTCTCTACAACTCCACTTATCAAGTTCCCACTCTTTGGTTCAACTTTTTCGAAAACAGTGAGAGATTTTCTTCAAAAGTGGGCGAAGCTTCAAAAATCGATATTTTCGTTGCAGATGGCGCACCGATTCCATTCGAAGAAGTTGTCAGGGATATTCTGAAAATTCCAGAATCTGAGGAATCGGATTCGTCGCTTCGCCAGCGAATTTCCCACTATGAGCATCCGATTCTGGGAGTACTGTACTATAATATTCACCCTTGTAATACGGAAAAAATTATGAAGGAGCTGAAAACAGATTCGTATTTGATTTCGTGAGTTTTCTGAAAATTGAAAAAAAAACTAATTCAAAAAATTCCAGATGGCTCAGCGTATATGGACAGCAACTGGGTCTTCGACTGCCGGATTCTTTGAAAGTGCACTAATTTTTATTGAATTATTTAAATATGTAAAAATCAATAAATTAAGGGAAATTCTTGTCTTGTCTCATTGAGATTTGGGCTTCTCTTTCAGTCGATTCTTGGCTGGCGGATCGAAAATGTCTAGGATTTTCAGCCAGAAAATTATGATGCAAGCCACGACGATGTACAGGATTCCGAAACCGATGCCTTGGTCGTAATAGCTGAAAAATTACCAAATTTCGGGGTTTTTTTAAGGCTGAAAATCGATATTTCGGGGTTATTTTTTAGTGGTTCCAGCTAAAAAAGGAATGAAATTCGCAAATTTTTTTGTCGAAAAATCGATTCTAAAGATTTTCAGCCGAATTGCTCACCCTTTCAGCCTATCCAGCCTTCCAGGCGACCCGGTTTCCACGGCCTTCTGATAAATCACTTGTGTTCGTTCCGCGACGTCTGGCCAATTGTACATTTTCGAAACAGCTTCATGCTTCTTATACGGATCCATCAATTTGCCTTTTTCTCGTTTTTCAACAGCCTGGGAATAATGAAAAATAAAGAAAGTAAGGGGAAATTTTCACAAAATTCAAGCTTTCGTCGATTTCGAAAAATCTGGGAAGCATGAGAATTTGAAAATTCCACTTTCTAAAACCTTGATATTTCGAAAATTCGAAAAAGGAAGAAGCTGAAGAGGTTTTCGAAATTCCAGAATTCCAAAAATTCGAATTTCCGATTTTCCGAAAATTTTAGTTTTTAAATGATTTTTACTTTCAAAAGTGCCTCCACCAAATCATCAGGTACTGGTTCCTCCAAAGAAATGAATTCGTCGATGGGCAACACTTCTGGAACGCCTCCAACTCTCGTCGAAACGACATGAAGTCCACAACTGGCCGCTTCGACAATACTCATACAAAATGCCTCGGTTAGAGAGGTATTTATGAAGATTTGTCCCTGATTTAGCACTTGTTTCACTTGATTATGAGGCAGCATTCCAAGCATCACGACACGAGAGTGGAGATTGTATTTCTCACGCATTTCCTCGAGTTCTATCCGTTTCGGACCGTCTCCGCCGATTATGAAACGGACCGTTTTGTGGCGGGCGCATACCTAAAAGTAGAACAGTATAATGTGTTTTTTGTGTTTCAAATTTTAAAATATCAAAAATTTGGAATTTTTCCAATATTCAAAAAAAAATTCAAAATTTGAAATTGTATAAATTTCCCAAGAAATTTTCTTGGATTTCCCGAATTTCAGAGTTTTCTGGAATTTCAATTTTTTGAATTTTTTTTCAAAATTAAAATTTTGGTGTTTTTGGAATTTCAACTTTTTTGAATTCCTGGAATTTCAGAATTTTCAGAAGATTCTGAATTTCTGTATTTCTGGATTTTTGAATTTTCGAAATTTTATAATTTTGTGGATTTTCGAATTTTTCGGATTTCAGACTTTTTCAAGTTTTGGAAAATTTTGAACTTTTGATTTTCGGAATTTTAGAAACTTTCGGATTTCCGAGTTTTGAAGATTTCGAAATTTTTTACTTTTCCAGATTATTCAAAATTTAAGAATATCTGGAATTTCGGTTTCTTAGTTCCGCGTCACTTCGAAACTGCGACACTTCGAAACCAGTCATCTCGAAACCAATTAGTTCAAAACAAGTCAGTTCGACTGGTTTCGAAATGTCGTGTTAATGAAACGTCCCGGAGCCGAAAAAATCTCTAAATACGATTTTTTTTTTGAGTTTTTGGAATTTTCGAATTTCTAATTTTTTTCAGATTTCCCGAATTTACCGAAAATTCAGTTTTTCGAATTTCAGTGTTCTTTTTAGTATGAATTTTAAAAATTTTTTTAAATTTCGAATTTTTGGAAATTCTTGAATTTCAAAATTTTTGAATTTTTAATATTTCAGAATTTTTGGATTTCGAGTTTCTGAGTTTTTAAATTTTCGAATTGCTGAAATTTTATAATTATTCGATTTTCCAAAATTTCCAAACTTTGATTTTTAGGATTTTCTTGAATTTATTAATTTTTTGACTCTTCAGAAAATTCAGGAAATTCCAGACATTTCAAAATACAATTTTCAGAATTTTTTTATATATTTTCACACATCCCAGTGCTAACTTTCGGAACAATTTCACATAACAAATCGGCTCCTTTCCGATAAACCAGTCGTCCCAAAAAGATAATTGTCGTTGGATTTTTGAAAAACTGATCAGTGTCCGGAGTGAACAGCGATGTCTCAATAGCATTCGGAATCGTTGAAACCTTATTTGGGTCCAGCTTTCCACGTAGTACAGTATTCTCTTTCGACGTATACGAGACGCAGATTATTTGATCGACGTTGATAAGGGAGTACTGTAGTACTAGCGTGTTCGTGAGGATTGCAGACGCGTCGGCGAATCCGAAAAGGGAATGACNNGGTGAAAAACGGTTCGGAGACCCATCAGACCACGATCATTAAAGATTCGTGGGCCAGTGCGGAGAATGTCTGGAAATTGGACTTTTAGGTTTTTGGAATGGCCGATTTTGGGGTTTTCTAGGCCACTGACAAGGGAATGTCGTTCAAAAAGCTCTTCAGAATTTTCTCTAAATTGGCTCATTTATAGAATCGAGTATGGGCTTTTACGTAATAGTAGTCTCTACCTGCAAAAATCGCTGAAACTCGAGAAAAATCGATATGAAATTATAGCATTTCCACCAGTCTCATCGTCTCCCTTCTCCTCCCCTTTCTTCACTGCGTTGCATGCTAGAGTAAAACATGTTTCGGTAGCCTAGTGGCTAGCAGGAAGGACCACGAATGCACACATGCAGGTTCGGGTCCTCGTTCTTTTATTTTTTTCTTATTTTTCAAACTTAAAAAGTCGTTTTCCAAAGGTTTGGAAAATGGGAGACACTTCTTGAACATTTTCAATGATTTGCAATGATTTTCGAATAATTTCAAAAAAAATTTTTTTTTGAAAAAAATCACCACACACTTTTTTTGACGAATTTTTAAAGGGGGACTCCGACCAGAAATTTTTAATGCATTAAAATGTGTTAAAATTTATCTATTTTTCAAATATTATTGCGAAAAAATTCAAAGAAAATCCGAAATCCCCGAAAAACGGCGTTGAAAAGGAAGAAAATTCAAAAAAAGGTGCCGCCGGGGGACGAGGATTTTCAGTGAGAAACCTAGGCCACGGCACCTGACAGCCTTTTTTTCAAGTCGCCGACAGTGGTTTTTTACGTTTTTTACCTGC